TATGAACAAAAATTAGAAATAAATTATCATTTTTTAGTAAAATATATTTTACTGTTATATCATTGTATTAAATCAAGCAAAATAAATAAATTTTTTAACTTAGATAAAATAAGATGAAATAGAATGAATATTAAGATTGAATAATATGAAATAATAAAATTTAAAATAAATAATAAAAAAATTAGATGAAAATAATTTAAATTAAATACAATTAATATTATTATTTTAACTGTAATTTTTTTATAAATATATATATGTTATTTTAATTATTTTATTTTATTTTAATTATATAATCTAGTTTACTATATTTTAATTTATTATAAGTTTATAATTTATTAATTTATTTTAATATAATTTACATTATGTTTTAAATTCAATTTACATTGTGTTTTAAATTTAATTTGATTTATACATTTGTAATGTCTGTATATATTAAACATTCTTATATCTAACACTCAACCTAGACTAGCGTAGTGGTACTAAGGCTCCTACTCTCCCATGAGGTGCTAGGTTCTAACTCCATGTTCTGCAAAGATGAGAACAGGGAGCGTGTGCAACAATTACTTAAATATAAGGGAGTCTGGTGCATTTTTTAAAACACAAGATAATAACGCACCTATTTCATATAATACAGGGGGGTTGGGTGAAATTTACCCTAAACTAGCCAATGACATGGAACTGCATTTATTAATAACTAGTAACGTGTGTCATGCACATGGTACTGAATTTTTTTTTTGCCGATTAAATTTAATAAAATTAATTAATTAAATATATTATTAAGCACACCATTGTATGAACATAATCAAATGTAGAACAAATGATCTTTTAATTTATTTTCAAAAATAACATAGTGATGTCTTAATATTGAAATAATGAAATAACATATTACAAGTCCAACAAAAATATATAAAAAATGAGTATGTGATTAAAAAACATAATAAATAACTAAATAAAGATCTAATGTATATTATAGATGCATTAGTTCTTTTATTTATTTAAGTTAGAGGATTCAAGTGTGATTTTCTTTCATTTTGGTTTTGACATTTTCATAAGAAACATTCATACTCGTTGGAGCCTAATATATCAATAACACTGCAAACTTCTTAATTTATTTGGCAAAATGTCTACATTATTCAAACACTTAAAAATATTATGGCCAAACATATAGTTAAACTTCATGATTGTATGATCTTATAGTTGGGTTCTATGAGGAACGTCGTCGATGTATACATTCGAATCTATTAAAAATAAATTCTAACGCAGTGGAATATATAGTTAGGATTAGGACTTAGAGTTTAAAAAATTTGCTAACTCTGAGACGTTTCTGATTTCTGCTATTGGACATCGTCTGAACCTTAGAGTCTGTTGGGTTGTCGGACTTGCCCTCGCCATCACGTCTCCAGTTGCTCGTCGGGCCTGTTGGACTGTCCCAAACCTCCGGTGGCTTGGTCGAACCGTCAGAGATTCGTCGTGGACTTTCTGGGACTCTTACACCGAGCTGGACAGGTTTGGACCGGTTCTGGACAAGGATGGACCATGTCTAGTGCCCTGGCGTCGAGGTTGCACTAGTCTGTTCCATTGGGGTCGAGACTGCATGGGTCTGCTGCACTGGGAGCCTAGGTCGCGCGATCTGGGGCACTGGTCGCTGAGGCGGGTCTAGTGGGACACTAGAATGCTGCGCACGGGACACTGGAACGACGTCGGTCGCACACAAAGCTCGCGGGTTGCACAGGGTCACGCGATAGATTCGCGGGTCGCAGACTGGGAGCACGCGGGTCGCTGCGGGAGACGCGGGTCAGTGCGGGAGACGCAGGTCGCGCTTGGGTAGCAGACGGGAAACACGCGGGTCGCTGCGAGAGACGTCGGTCGTGCGCGGTCTGCTCGGGTCTGCCTACGCAGTCGCGCATGGCCGTGCACGGGCGGTGCTTGGGTGCGCATGGCGGCACGTGGGACTCTGACACCGCCGCGTACGGTTGCAGCTGGTGGTCCTGCGCACGTCGGTGGATGGGCCTTCCATTGGTAGCCGTGCTCTCCAATTTTCGTGGCCATCCAAAATGTTGTGGGGCTGTATATATTCGTCAGGATAAGAATACATAACTTTGGGATCTTCTATTATATGGCCTTTACACCTTCTCCAATCAATCTCTGTGGAGCGATTAATTGGAACTGCCAAAGCCTCTAGAATTTCTTCTCCTAAGACCTCTCGATTTTATCCGAATTTTTCACAGAGAAGAATTCCTAATTCTAATGTGTTTCATGCGTGTACGACCAGGAGTTTGGATGTTTGAATCTGATTTTGATCGTATGAAATACATCATCTTGGAGACAAGGGGACTACGTCTACACCTATTCTTTATTTGAGTAAATACATCATAGGTGTAGACCTTATGTCTACATGTATTCTTTCTTTGAGTAAATAATGGATCATTCAACTAGAGTAATATTATTGCATTTCTCTTTTAGCTCCGAATTACAATTAATTTGTCTGTTGCTTAATTGATCGATTTACCTCCTCATGTTTAAGATTTAATGTTCATTTTTAATTACTAGTACCACTCAATTCTTTATTATTATGTCGAAAATTGATCCATCGACCTAGTTTAACATAATAATCATTCTTGAGCTCATTTTGGGGATGCCATCAAACCCACAAACCTGGATACGTTGACCGTAAACAATTTTAACAACACATCATGTAAACAACATCACTTACCAAAATACCGAGTATGTCAACCTAATAGAATAGGTATCACCCTTGGTAAATCAAATAAGTGTTGAATACATATTCCTATTTAGTGTCTTACGGGTTAAGATAATACAATAATTACTGAAGTCTAGATTATTTACTTAGTCAGTATAAAATAATCTTATCCTCATGTAGGTATGTTCAATACATGCAAGATGTACCTGTGCAATTCATTGGTCAAAGATCAACTAACTCGAAAATCACACTACAGCCTTTCACGACAGTTGGTTCAATTATGTCTGGCCGTGACCAAATATTTACATTTTAAAAGGCACCGATAATGTGATCTTTCTGTTTGACACATCGAACCACATTATCTACAATGTATAATAAAGGAACTATGTTCTTATTCAAAATGGAATTGGTAATAATCATAAAGCCGAGCTTCTACAGTATACTCCGACACTTATAAGATATTTCTACTAACAATTCAGAATATATATGTGAAATAACCAACTGTGTCATTAAAATTGCTGATATTTTTTTATTATTCTATAAATTATTGCATTACTCTCTCACCCTATATACAACTTGGTACCTATTCCATGGAGCATGGCCCCATGAGATCAGAATAAATTTCGTTTCTAAATAAAAGTTGACTTTTCAAAATCTTGGTTCTATGTACTTCTCTCGAGGTGCTATTTGTTTTATCTGTGGCAAAGGGCGTCACGCTGCTGCCTTAGTCCTCGGTTCTGCGCTCGCGTGTGGCTGCGGGTCACCGGCTAAGAGGGCTTGGTGCGGCGGCGAGAATGGTGGTCTTTGGGAAACTTTTTGGAGAATTTTCTTTTGGGTGGTTTAGGGGAAGCTTTTGGCTCCTCTCATGCTGTTGTAACTATGGCCGAAAGATGAAGAGTTTTTGGTCTCAAAATATATCTCTTGGAGTAAAAGGAATGAGGGACATCAAGGGGATCTTCTTACCAAAAATAAGAGGCAAATCAAGGGAGCATTGATGGTCAAAGGCCGGATTCCTTGTGAGATTAGGGGAAAGACTTTGGCCGAAAAAGGTAAGGATGAGGAGGAGGGATCTTAACGTAGTTGGTCTCAAGGATTTTGAATTTCAAAAACTAAAACATGGTGCCAAAAGAAAAAGAAAAACCTAAGGGCCGAAATTCTCTTACAAATGGGGCCGAATTTATCCAAGGAAAAAGGGGCCGGAATTGGACTTGGAGATGGCCGAAAAAATATTGGCTCAAGCTTAGAAACAACTAGTAAAATGACTTGCTCCAGAAATCGAAGATTGAACGAAGATAACTTACCAAAGGAAAAATTAAAAAAATAGAACTTTGAAACCTTTATGTAGATCATGAGGACATCTACAATTTAATTAGCTTATTTGATTAAGTTGACGAGAACATCTAATTAATCTTAAAATCAAATTAGCCGAGTTAAATAAAATAATTAAAGAGATAAGCAGACAATGCAACCCACTCAAGCACTATACAGATATGTCCTTTGGGAAGAAGAAAAAATTATAAAAAACGAAAGAGAAAAGTCATCAAAATTTTCATGGCCATAAATCGATCCAGCAGGTCCCTATATATAATATGCTTTATTTATAGTGGATGGTTAATGGTGTCTTACATCGATCAGGCAGATTCCTATTAGCATTTTGTCTCTTACATCACATATCTTGAAATGCGCGCCCATTACATAATTTGTATGTTTAATGGTCTATTTTTGGATTGAAATGAGTGGATAGAAGAAAAGTCATCCCCATTTCTAAAATTAAAGTTGAATACACACTAAAAAATTATAACAGCCCAAAATCAAAATTAAGAAAAGAAAATAAAATAGACCAATCAAATTAATAGGTGGGTGGAGTTGGGGTGGAGGACGCCACATTTTGCTCAACAGTAAAAAATGAGATGCACTTATGAAAGTTACGTCAACATATCAACCACTTTTTTATTTTTATTTATTTTTTATTTAATAACAACATATCAACCACTTATCTAAAGCAAAATTAAAGAAGAAATAAACCACCATTATAATGGCTGACATCATGTACCCATGATATATGTGTATAAAATTAAAAATAAATTAAACGCAGCGTTGTGGTAGGGCCAGGGGTTATCTGATAATCATCATCAATGTGAACTCCACCATCGATCCATCCATTTGATAGTATACACATCACAATGAAAGATCATGCATATATCTAATCACACTATATATATCACCAACAGAAAGAGAGTGCTCAACTCGAGTCACACAAAGGGATAAACACGAATTTCACAAACACACGTATTCTTACATGAAGGAAAAAAAAAGGTAAAAAAATATGTAGTGATTTTCTTTTATATAAAAATCATGAATAACAGAGATAATAGACATTATAGAACTTACATGTTGATTCCATTCTTGAACAGATACAGGATGATTGTCTTTAAATTTTATACTTTCTTGTGTAATATAAGAAATGTTTATTTGTTCAACCTTGCTCCTTCTGTATGATCTTTTCGTGTAAATAAAGTGTAAAACAAACAGTAACTCAACTAAAGAGGATGATTGAAGTAAAAAACGGAAATTGAATAATCCTTACCATTTGAAAAAAGACCCAATTCATTTCCCTAAAATCTGCAATTAACATAATTAACAACAATGGTTTTTACAACTAATTTTACTACACTTTTATCATATAAGTTAGCTTTTCAGCTATAAGTCATAACCTATAAGCTATAAATTCGAAAATTACATATAAATTATAAGTTAGCGTATCAGCTAGTTTTACCAAATATAGTCTAAATATTTATGTCCCACTCGATCGCTACATTCTTTTCAAAATGCTCGTTATCTCTGATAGTACTAATACGTTAAATTAATTAAATACATGTATGTAGATGGTCAAGAATCGCACGAAAATTACCGGGCCGCACTGATAACGAGATCAAGAACTACTGGAGGAGCCACATGAGAAAAATGGGTCAACAAAAAAAGAAGGCCCAATCATCCAACTCATCATCCTCAGACAGCGCGGACGTCAAACGGGCTTCCAATGGGCCCAGTTTGGGTTTGGGCTTGGGACTTGAAGAAAGCGTGGATGGTTACTCTATGGAAGAAATATGGAAAGACATCGAGTTGTCCGAGGGGAGCAGCACGCTGAGTGGTGGTGCCACGTGGGATTTTTGTGGGGCCGAGTCTTTGTGGTCCGTTGATGATGAGGACCACAGCCGGATGCTGATGCAGCAAATGGGTGATTACTATTATTCTTTCCCTTTTACCAAACATATATATGACCATGGAAAATAGGAAATTCAGGTTTGTACAATAAAACATGAGTACTGTTGCTTATAATTGGGTTAAACACACTTCAGGGAATCCATCCAGTAATTTTATAGTGTTAATAATTTCCTTCCTGTGTGGGCTAGTGGGTGTAAATTAAGTAAAGGGATTTATATTGATATTGGCATATTGCATTTGTTCCGTGGTGTAAGGATAAATTGTAAGGTTTAACGATTGAAGAAAGTTATATGGTCCATTGATTAATGGTGCGTACCTTTTTAGTTACTTCTTTGACTAGGGTATTATAATTTAATTAACTGGTGGATGTCAATTTATCATGTTCAAATATTTTGATTGGACGGTTTGATTGATATTATAACAAGGGATTCATATATAGTGGATTCTAGAACAGTAGGACGTTGATATGTTACAACCAGGATATAATTGTTAGCCATCTTTCGTTGATTCTGTTAGCCTAATTCCATTGTAAATATTTATTAAACAAATTGCTTTTAGAAGAGATTTAATTAATCGGAAATTGTAAATTTAACCAAATAATATTTAATCAAAATTTAAATTTAACTCAGCCCTATTATCCTCAATATTATCAATAATTAAATAATATCAACACGTCATTCTTACGCATCACATCAACTTTAATTCAATATTACTCATTCATAAAATTTTAACTAATCATCACTTCCAATCATTTTTCTTTTATTTTTATATAAAATTAATTTTAATTATTTTATTTTAAATATTATTTTAATTTAAATTTAAAAATCTACTAACAATTAACCATACCACATTTTTCAAAATTAACTAGCAAAAAAATTAATCAAATCTATATCAATCACACCCAATGTAACTGTTGACACACGACACGACATTACTGGTGGCATGTGTCAAGACCAATAGTAACAGTATCTGGAAAAATGAGGTTGGCGTACAAACCCCCTACCCATACCCAAACTCTCACGACGAACATTAGTAAACTTCTAATAAAATACAATATGCAAAATCATCCATATGCTGATTAAAATGCCACTTGCAGCGCAAATGATTGGAGATAATATGTTTTTTTTTTTACCAAACGATAAATCTTTCACTAATTAAACTCAACAAGCAGAGTACTATGTAAATTCGAGACCAATTGAGACTGAAAATACCAACTAACAATTGTTGGTAAAAGAGTACACAGTGAGAGCCAAAACATGTTGCTCCCAATACTCACCACAAACTACTAAAAAAACAAATTAACAAGCACTATTAAGCTTTGACAACTAAAAAAGAACATGAAGTAAATAATCTAGCTAGACCAAAAATATCTGCACCTGAGAATTTTCTGGATCTACAAGGGTTCTCAAATTGTTAAGTGCTTCTGCAATTATCCTTGAATTGGTCCAGTAGATCACCTCCTTCCATTCCTCTTTTCTTGCCAAATTAAGGATCCATATGATATGGTTCAACTCTGCACCAGTGTCATCACTTGTTGTGGTTACTGAATTAGTCCACACTTTGAGCTCTCTTCCTCCTTTCCAGGCATATCCACTGATTTTTCTGAGATTGTTACAAGGGAGTGAAGCACTGACAGATAGTGAAACCTGCCCTACATCCTGGAAAAATTTACTTCCAACCTTCTCAGAGTCTTCATTCAATAACACTACATCACCAACCTCATTAACAACATTAAACTCAAGCCATTCTAATTTAGCTTTGTTAAACAAATCAATCTCCGAAACCCAAGTATTCTCAAAGACCCACAAATTTCTAGTCTTCCACAACCACCAAAGTAAGTAAGAGGATAGACTTACCCTATCTTTGATGATTGGAGAAGACTTAGCACCAGTTAGATCCATCCACCAATCTCTAAATGTAAATGAGGTATGGAAGAGGTTAAGCCAATTAATACCTATTAATTTCCAGCATAATTTGGCTCTGTAGCAGTAGAAAAAGATATGGTCCTGATTTTCATCCTTCTCTCCACAGAGTTTGCAGATAGAATCTATCCCCATCCCCCTTCTCCTTAAATTTGAATTTGTACCCAAATGACCCTGCCAGAACTTCCATAAGAAATTTCTGATTTTGTGTTTCACTGGCAGTTTCCAGGTAACTCTCTACATCTTTGCCTCTTTTTCCTTCTGGTCACTGGAAGAAGCATGCATCTGCTGCACCAAATGCTTGTTAATCAATAAATTGTACAGTGACTTTACAGTGAATTTTCCTTCACTATGAGCATCCCAAACCATTCTATCTTTGACCCCCTGCCTGATGATTGGCAATTTTAGAATCTGAGCAGCTTCCTCAAGAGCAAATGACTGAAGTATCAAATCCTTATCCCAACTCCCACTTGCAGTAGCCAAATCCCTTAACCACACCAAATTCCCTCTATCTCCAGCAAAATGACAATAAGGTTTAAAGTGGGGAATATTTGGGATTCAAGGTGAATCCCATATTCTAATAGACCTCCCATCCCCAACTTGAAATCTCATTCCTAGTCTAAAACCATCCCTAGCCCCTAACCAGCTATTCCACCCCCAAGAGTCCCCACTCTTCTTCCCTACACTCATCAAACACTTCTTATGAAAATATTTGCCCTTCAAAACCCTGCTAACAAGGAGATTAGGTTGAGTCAAAAGTCTCCACAACTATTTACCTAAAAGAGCCTGATTCATGACTTTAAAATTATAAAATCCTAATCCTCCCTCAGACTTAGGTTTGGCCACATGATCTCACCCAACCCAGTGAATCCTCTTACCACCATTCCCTGACTGCCCCCACCAAAAATCTGCTACCACCCTATCAAGATCAGCACATAGAGATAAAGGAAGCTTAAAACAAGACATAGCATATATAGGTAAAGCTCCCAAGACAGTCTTAATCAAAACTTCTTTCACTGCCTCACTCAACAGTTTATTTTTCCAACTCCTCACTCTTTTTTTCACTCTTTCCAGAATAAAATTAAAAGTTTGCTTTTTAGATCTACCTATACCCAAGGGGAGACCCAAATAATTGGAAGAATTAACCCAAGCAATACCATGCAGAATTCTGCAGATGGATGTTTTAAGAGATGAGTCAGAATTCTTGGAGAAAAATATAGAAGATTTCTCCATATTAACCAGCTGTCCTGAAGAAGAACCATATTCATGCAGAATTTCAATAATTATTTGAGCATGGTAAATATCTGCCTTGCAAAAGAGAATAGAATCGTCGGCAAAAAAAAAAGATGAGAAACAGAAGGGGAAAATTTGGCTATTTTGAGACCTCTAAACCCAGAATGAAGGCATGCTTGATGTAATAGGTTAGAAAATGCCTCATAAAGGATTATAAATAGATAAGGAGACAAAGGATCTCCTTGTCTAATCCCCCTGGATGGATGGACAAAACCCAAAACTTCACCTTCAATGTTAAAATAAAAAGAAACAGTACTAATGCAAGCATTAATCCAATTGATAACTGAATCACAAAAACCTATATATTTACAGATTTTCAACAAAAAAGGCCATTCAACCCTATCATAAGTTTTGGCCATATCCAACTTAACTGCCATAAATGAATCCTTGCCTTTTCTTTTATTATTAAAGTAGTGAATAAATTCATTAGCAAGGATCACATTATCCAAAATTTGCCTATTGGGCACAAAAGCAGATTGATTAGCAGAAATACACACACAAAGCACAAATTGCAACCTATTTGCTAAGACTTTAGCAATGACTTTATACACTACAGAACACAAACTAATAGGCCTATATTCAGACACCTTAGTTGCATTTTGGATTTTAGGAATAAGGGTTATCACTGAATGATTGACCCCTTTTGGCATTTTGCCTTTATGGAAAAAGTTTTTGACAGCTGAACAAAAATGAGAACTCACAGTGGACCAAGATTTCTGGAAAAATATAGGGGACATGCCATCACTCCCTAGGGCCTTCAGTTGATCCATTCCCATGAGAGCAGATTTAATTCATGATCTTCCACCTCTCTTGTAAGTTCCAAATTCATCTGGTCAGAAATGGTTCTTTGAATCCTTGCAAACTACAATAGTCCACATCAGGCCCAGTTGATTTAAACAACTCCCCAGAATACCTCTCCACTTCTCTCACAATTTCAGCAGTGTTCCTACAAGTATCTCCATTACAGTTAACCAAATTTTGAAGGCCATTTTTTGTTCTCCTTTGCCTCACACTTGCTTGGAAAAATTTTGAATTTTTGTCCCCATGTTTAAGCCAGTTCACTCGAGCCTTTTGACTCCAGAATATTTCTTCATCATCTCTAGCTCGGTTTTGGATCTCTTGAATTCTTTTCCACTCAACCCAGTCCCTGAAACCACCCTGCTCCCTTAGAACCTCCAATTTTATTTGGCATTCCTCCAGAATTTTGGCTGAATTTGCTGTTCCATTACTCTTCCACCTTAGCAGCCCCTTTCTAACATTTTTAATTCTCTCTTGAATACTGAATAGAGCTGGGCCACTAAATGTTTTGTTCCAATCCTCTGAAACTACCTCTGCAAAACCCTCCTTCTGAATCCATTTGGAATCGAAATAGAACCTGGATTTTCTGCCCTTCTCATTTCCATCTCTTTCCATTAGCAACAAAGAGTGATCTGAGGATGTTAAAGTAATGTGCTGAAGGGATGATTTGGGGTAAAGGATTAACCACTCAGGGGAAAAGAAAAATCTATCTAGTCTAACCTCCACAAAATCGTCACCACTCCTGTTATTGGACCAAGTATAAGGATGACCCTGGATATTAGTTTCCCCCATCCCCATATCTCTTACAAAACCCCTAAAAACATTAATGCTCCC